AATAACGTCTCATTATAACCTTTAAAGAGAGGAGGCCCTTTAAATGAAATAGTAACAAAGCTGTGCAGAATCGCTTTGAAGACTTGGCCTTCGGTGGTATGGAAAATGCTAACATCTGTCAATGCCCTTCATCTTTAATCAAGCTCTATCAGCAGAATCTGAGTGCTTTATATGTGTGCATGTGTATCGGGTATATATGTGTATGTTATGCAATTGGATGTAGGTGAGAATTCTAATGCTGCACAGAATGCCATATCTGACTGCCAAGGTGAGTTGTGCTCGTGGACAGAGTAGGCCCATTGCCGCAAAATGCCCCAGATCTGGCCTGCGGCCTGCAGGTTGGTCTAATGCCTTTGAAACTATTTTTCCTCCTAGTCTGAGGCATGCTGGCTAGAACCTAGGGGAGGCATGGAATTTGGAGCTGGAGCTCTTTAGAACCACATAGGGCTTAACTCGCACCTGCAAGATTTCAGGGCCTCACTTGGGATCATGGCTACTCTCCACCACTGTGGATGTTTCCAGGCTTCCCCATAAATCAGCTTAAATGGTATCATCCCATTTCCTTGGGCTCCCTCACAGGATTCCTCCACAGCCCAACTTGTGCTGCTGGAGAAAGACACTGAGTCTAGATCAGCCTGCTAGAAAGAAACAGAGGAGTTACTGATTCTCAGGCTCTCTTCTTAGGAAGGAGGAAAGAGAAAAGAGTACTATCTGAACAGAGCCCAAAACATGTCTATCCAAGGTTACCTCAAAACAAAGCCTCTGAAGATGAGTAAAAGTTTCCTCAAAGTACACAGGAAAGCAGTTGCAGCCCACAGGTGTGACACTAGCCATGGGAGCTAGGGGTAGGGGAGATGAAAGTAGAGTCGGATTTGAGGCACTGAGAAGACTAATGACCAGTGAAACAATGGAAAGGAACTTGCCAGGAAGGCAGGAGCACAGAGAGAACGGCACGAAGAGGGGCGGCGCCCAGCACTCAGCGGCTGGGCTGAACCCACAGGCCGGGCCTTTATAAATATATATTTTTCTATCAAGCAGGTCTAGGGAGACCCAATTATTGCTTACATTACTTGGGGTTTGTTTTGTTCGTGGTTTTTAGCCAGTTGGTCTATGTGACCATTAACATAAAATATGAACAAATTGGCTATAGATATATTAAAATAAGATAGAACAATATTCTGAAAGATCAAGATATAGTCTACAAAAAATGTAATTTTAATGTCCCTTAAATGCCTTAATACTATATTCTTTTCTTTTTAGTGAATATGTACATTTTATTGCTTTCGCTGGAGGAGAAAAAGGACAGATGGTACTCTAGCCACAACCTACCGAGGGTATGTGGCCATGAAAAAACCCTAACTCCACCAGTAAGAAGAGCCTCTGGGTGCCTTATACTCTTAGAATAAGAGCGAGGTGGTGTAGCTGCTAAAGCCCAAGAGGCGAGCCCTTGAGGAGACCTGGGCCTCTCTAGGAAACCTCTAATGTCTATTACTATAATTCATGATAGGAGGAGACACTGGACCACCAAACCAAAGAAGACCCACGAAAGGAGAGAGAGAAGATGGGAAAGTTGACTGATTCAGTGATGTTTTAGAACAGGGATCAGAAAGGTGGGCAGGATATAATAATAACAAAATCACACATTAATTCAAATTACTCTAGCACTTTCGATGTTTCTAACATTTTCACCTGTATTCATCTATTTACGACCATGCCTCTGGCTACATCACTGCTTATTAACGAGCGCACCCTTTCCAGCAGGGTGAAAAAGGAGAGAAACTGAGTAAACAGCTTTGCTCCTTTCAGGACCTATTTATATAGAGACCCACAGAATGTTAAAGCTGGAAGGAACTTTATAGATCATTTAACTCATTCTTTATTTCACAGATGAGGAAACTGATGAAGTGGCTTTAGGGAAGGTGGAGATGGAACACCATCCTCTTCTGCTATAAACAGGTACCTATAACCTGGGAAGTGCTGGAGTTAGAAAGCAAAGAAATGTTTCAGAGATAACACAAACTCAATTGTCAATCCTTAATTTACACTCTAGATTGGCTGCTTTCTCATTTTATTCCACGAAAGCCTCTAGAACATATTCATAAATCAGATTCTATGAATATGATTTGCAGACTTGCCTGTCCTATAAATACATATATTCCTACAGCTGAATTTATTTTTTTCCCTATGAATTAATTGCACAGGAAGAAAAAGGGTTTGTTTCATCATCCTATAAAAAAGCAGGTCCCCAAAGATAGTTCTCCTTTTTTCAAATGCAGCACAGTAGATTGAAATGAATATAAAAACCAGGAGAAAAGGCCCACAGTGTTGCCTGTATATGAGAAAGAGGTGGCCCTTTGCTACCTGCAGGCACAGACAGTAGAGGATGCTATTTTTATGGACCAACAGTGAAAGCGGGTCTATGTTAATGTCAAGACCTCACATTGTCCCTCATTACACTCAGGAGTCACATCAAAAGTCCCAAGCTAGCAGGGAAGGCCAGTAGGAAGGCCTGGAGTGAGCTTCAAGGAGGAGGAAGGTAGAGCAGAAGGCCAAAAGTGTCCCTGAATTTGTGACTGCAATAAACGGTCTTAGTGAGCCCATCATTTAATATGAGGAAACTGACACCAAGAAAAGTGAAGGCACTTGCTCAAGACCTTACGGTTTAAAATGGCAAAAGTAAGATGATTCTCTATTCTTATTTTCATGCTAAGGACATCTTAGGAGAAACAGCAAAAATCACCGTAGGTTATACCAAGAACCCTGCATCAAGTAGCATTATGGCCAGCTTAAGTAGGAGTAGAATTCATAAGCTCCCCTTTGTGATGCCAGAACAAAATGCATCTTAGTGAGTAAGGGGAGCTTAAGGCTTTTCATTTGTAGATAGAACTTAACAGGTTAGGATAGTTTATAACCAGGATATCGTGGGAGCATATTCAGCGCATCCGTGGATGTTATTACTGGGTTTATGCAGTACATTAAATTACTTGGAAGTTTTAAAAACCATCCCTGCCTTCCCTCTATTCCCTTCTGGCCACCCTGAGAGATTCTGGTATGTCTGGCCCTTGGTTAAGAATCACCGCTCTAGTGGCCAGTTACGAACTGGAACATTTCATATCACTTAGGTGTGCTGGGGTAGAGAAAAATTTAGAACCACTGATGTAGTAGCCTCACAGTAACTATCATGGTCTATGATCCTCTTACATAGCTGATCAAATCATTTCCTAGCATCTTCTAAAATAATCCTTCTATACCAATAGAAATATATAGGTAATTTAAAATTTTCTATTAGCCATATTAAAAAAGGAAAACAGGAGAAAGTAATATTAATATTACATTTAACTCAATTTATCCAAAATATGCTATTTCAACAAGTAGTAAATATATATTATGATATATTTTACTTTTTTATACTAAGTCTCCAAAATCTGATGTGTATTTTACACTTACAGCACATCTCAATCCACAATTAGCCACATTTCAAGTGTTCAATAACCACATATGGGTGGTGGCTACCATATTGAACATTAAACTACCCTTGCCTCTCTCACTGACATGTTTACTCCAATAGAAATAGAAACTTCTCCAAACTATAGCCATTCCTACCTGTCCCAGGGCTCTTTCCTTTTCAAGTCTAATGCTTCCACTTTGGTCTTTATTCCATCTCAACTCTCCTTCATTCAGTCGTCAAGTAGTCATTACTGAGTGCCTACCAAGTACTGGGTATTTGTGTTAACTTATGAGAATGAAAAGATAAATAAGACATAGACCTTGACTTCCAGGAGCTCTCAGCTTAGTGGAAAATGAAGGCACATATAAGAGAATTTGATGAATGGTATACAAAGATACAAACAAAGGAGTGCACAAGGAAGGAATGACTGCTGCTTCTGGGGCTTCTGGAAAGCATTCACAGAGATAGGACATTTGGGCTGGGTTTTAAGGGATGAGGAAAAATGGTACAGAGGCAGGGAAAGGTGTTTCAGGCACAGGGAAAAGCATATTCAAGATATAAGTATGCCGATCTGCATCCTTAGACATGGGAAACGTCTAGTAGGGCGAGATGGCAAGAGGTGCCTGGAGTGAGACTGGAGAGGTGAACTGGGCCTCAAATGCCTGATGATACATTCAGAATTACCATGAAGTCATTCTCTGAATAGGAAAATCTTGTGGTAGGTTATAGCACAGAGGAGAAGACAAAATAGAGCCTGAACAAAGGGTGGTAGCACTGTTTAGAAAGGAGGGGATGTGAGCACCCAAGTGAATGAAGGGAATGTAAGAGCACTATTTTCTGAAGACAGTCTTAAGATGAGGCATTATGATGGAACCTGAGCAAAGGCAGTTAATAGGTAATGCTTTTCAGGCCCAAGCTCACTATGCTAGGAGCCTTAAGGCCACTAGCTTGGTATTTATATAGGACCATTACAACCTGCTATGATCTGACAGCACTAAATGGCCT